TCACAGCAGATCATGGGCAATTGCTGGTCAGTGAGCAAACTTATTGTATAATCTGGTGCTGTTCAGTGTTGGCTAGGTTTAGTGCATATAATTTTGGAGATTTTGGTAAAAATGTTTCTACAAAATCTGCATTAACTTAATATGTCAGGAATGTCATTCAAAAATCTACTCTTATTACAACCTAGCAACCTATATCCACCTAAAATATAGCCATTGTTCATAAGGAACATGTTTCTTTTTTATTGCAACTCTCCCAAATCTGATACATGTACTTAGAGCATGGTTAGTAACCGTGCTTAGAACGAGTGCATAAATCATTTTTGTACCCTTTCACAATATTTTTATCAGTATTGAATGTTGATCATACTCCCTTCCTCCCTCTGATATGTTAAATAGATGGACTTTGATATTAATTGTGCCTAGATTGTATCTATTTTTATTCTTTGTAGGATATTTTTCTTCTTTCAATCATAATCATGTTTAGGCTACAACTCTTCAGTATCTGCTCATTCAGATTAAAATGAGGACTATACTTCCATAACTTGTAATTTGACTTTTCTCTATGTGATTGTACAATCATAACAACGCCTTCCTAATCTGCATTTATTGAGGTATTTAGAGGCTAGAAATGGTGACTTTGACAAAACCTCTTTTTACCCTGAAACTGTGTCATTCAATTAATATATGAATATTATATTGTGGCAATTAATGGTGCACTTTTTAAAGTTGTTTGTTCTAATTGTATTAACTCACTCACATTCACTCAACTAAAGGATGATGATGTTTTATGATGAATATGCACTCTATTTCAGGTGCATCACTATCAAATGTGTCAAGTCAGAATGTTTACACTTCTATAGTTGAACCAGCTGCCAGTGACAGTGATGTTGGTCATTGTAGCTTTCAAAGTGATCCGTTTGAACCTGTTGTATCTACTGAGACAGCAGCCAGTGCCATGGCCAGTGACTTGTATAGTATTGTACTTCCAAATCAATTGCAAACTGCAGTAAATACATGTACTGAAACAGCAGCCAATATCAATAGCATGTATACTACTAGCTTTTCAAGTCAACAGCAAACTGCAGTATATACAAATACTGGAGCAGTATCAAGTGCCAGCAACACGTACACAAGTTTTCCAAGTCAGTCACAGTCTGCAGTTACTGCATCAGCAACCAGTGCCAGCAACTTCTATACAAGTTTTCCAAGTCAGCAGCTAACTGCAGTTACTGCAACAGCAACCAGTACCAGCAACATTTATACAAGTTGTCCAAGTCAGCCACAATCTGCAGTTACTGCGGCAGCAACCAGTGCCAGCAACATTTATACAAGTTTTCCATGTCAGTCACAATCTGCAGTTATTGAGACAGCAGCTAGTGCCAGCAACATGTATACTACTACCTGCTTACCAAGTCAGTCACAATCTGCAGTTATTGAGACAGCAGCTAGTGCCAGCAACATGTATACTACTACCTGCTTACCATGTCAGTCACAATCTGCAGTTATTGAGACAGCAGCTAGTGCCAGCAACATGTATACTACTACCTGCTTACCAAGTCAGTCACAATCTGCAGTTATTGAGACAGCAGCTAGTGCCAGCAACATGTATACTACTACCTGCTTACCATGTCAGTCACAATCTGCAGTTATTGAGACAGCAACCAGTGCCAGCAACATGTATACTACTACCTGCTTACCATGTCAGTCACAATCTGCAGTTATTGAGACAGCAACCAGTGCCAGCAACATGTATACTACTACCTGCTTAATACATTGCCTGCTGAAAGCCACCATAGATAGCTGTAGTAGCAGTATTTTTCATTAAACTTCAAATGTTGGAGTACAACTAAATATATCTGCTTAGAAGAACTTCAGCCTAACTGAAAATGTTTAATATTGATTCTCATACACAGTATCATGTATCAACATATTTTGTGGTCTGTGTGTGGTGCATGCAGTAAGTTTATTCTGTACTCAAACATTTGTAAGTTTATACATGGACACACGGATGAGCTTATAATATAGAAACAGTATAGCAACATTCTGAGGAGAGTTTGGAGCTTTTTCAAATTTGTATCTGTTTGTTTAGTTCTGTTGTTGACTACATGAAGCTATATTCATATTGGTGATCTGTCACTCTGTCATCTGTCCAACGGTCTGTTTGATTTTTTTTATAAAAACTTATACTCTTATGAACCATAGCTTGTAATGGTCTCAAATTTGCTGTTGATTGAGTATGTGTTCTATGATTAGTTGATGCTTAATCATGTGGCACATTATTTCACGGTTTATATTAGAAACTCTTATATGCTATGTATTGTCAAATGTTATGAAATAATCATTCCGTTCTACTGCCACACATTTTTTGCATAAGAAATGTTTTCCACAATATGTGTATATTATTGATGCATTTTCTCGTAGGTTGAAAAGAGAACTTTTAATCCCCAACTGGGCATGATTATATGTTTGATTCCATTTGTCAGTCTTTTATTTCTTATGTTGTATTTCTTTGGAGTTTTATAGACCAATTATTCAAAACTTGGTAACAGCTGTCTGAGATGGCTGACAATTTTATCTGTTTTTTGTGCATAATTCTGCTTATATCTCAAATTCACATAGTCTATTTAGAGCCAAATTTGGTACACAGACATTTGCATTCTAGCACATCACCAAGAATTCACCCTGTTCAGTCAAACTTGACACACAGAATACATCCTGGAATAGACTTCATTTGTTGACTCGTTTCAAGATTGCTGAATAGTGGACATTTCACTTCCAACAAATTACAAAAACATTGAACATTTTCGTCATCCCAGAACTTTATAGTTGGGAAATTTTGTTTGTAATCTTCTGACGTGTCAAGTAGTATGTGTACTGTAACACATGTTAAAGCTGAATGTACAGTATCTTCAAGATATCCACATCAGATGTCTTGCACAATAGTCAAACATTAAGCAGTTCCATGCACAGTATTAAGTTCAGATATGATTTTAGTCTAGTTACTCAAAATTGAGAGAATTTTAACAAAGTTTTGCCAACATTACAACTTTGAATTGCTTTTCATTATAATTGATTCAGTTGA